TCACTCACTTTCTTGCGGCGGTTTTGGTTGGTGTTCCACCAATGTCCAGCGGGACAGAAGGGTTGAGGGAAGATTGGACTGTTGAAAGTAGTCTCAAAGTTACAATAAAGTATTCTTGTAGACTATGGCTGAGAAAGTGAATAAGCACTACTGTGATCTAAAATTAACCATATCACTCAACGTTTCTAATGAAACGATTAAGCTGCTCTCTAGGTTCAAACCCAAGGAGACCAAAGCGGCCAATATGATGCAGTCTTGTGGTAATCCCAGCTACAGATTTACAGCGTTACAGTTTCTGGACAACGAACTACAGGCCAATCGTGTCGACCAATCAGAAGTCGTGGCCTTTTTCCTGCCTGTCGGTGATGAGAGATTCCACTGTACAAGTGCCTGTGCCATTCACTGTTTCAGCTGTGTCCGTGCCTACTTCGACTACTGCAAGTCTCCTGNTAGAGTTTTCATACCCTGACAACGGGTTTTAGTTTGATCACCGCTGCATTTTCCATGGTCCACCTGTCTCGGTAGAAAACGCAAGCCGTGGTTTTCTAATTATTGACATGCGTAATTTATTTCCAACCTAACATTAGTTCAATGGACAATCTCCATCACCCAAACCGCTACGCATTATTTCAGTATTGTTTGACAGAACACTCCACCAGATTCGTGCGATGCGACACAGACAGCCGCGTTTGAACACCGACAGTCTATCTGATTTCCGTATCGACCAACAATCTGCACCTTAAAGCGCCCGTTGCCGAACTGCTGCTGGTACCAGAGATGCATCAAGTTGGAGGATACCCATCGAATCCTCTGTATATGTGCGAGCACTTCATCTGTATCCGCCAGGTGAGACTTAGCTGTCCAAAATTCGCTCACTCCCACAATTATGGCCCAGTAACTGTGAGGTTGGGAACTTTGTCGATTCAGTCTTGCAGTTAAATATTTCACCTTGTAGGTGCAAAATGCATGTCAAACAGCTACACAGTGAGGCTTGCAAGTTATGAGGATGTTCACTTAACAGTAGAATTCCGTCATTATGTTCCATATCACAGTCCACTACCTGAGAGCAAACGCATGCGGCAGTCCTCCTACGACGACGGGGCTGTTTTCGGAATCGCTTCCATTACGAAGTTGAATAGAAGAGGAGAGAGGTCAATCCTGGGGAACAGCGCTTTCGCGGTGAACTTGTGCGAAAGAAAGAACCGCAAGCTCTGATTCTCCTTTGATGATAACTATAAATGGATTTTACTTTTGAAATGATCTAATCGGGCAAACCTTTCAGTGAAGAGCATCGCTGGAGTATAGAGCGGTTGGATGAGTCAAAGGCCGCTTCCAGATTAAGGAAGATAAAAAGGGCGGGTCTGCGAAAACAATTTCTGTGTTCTAGATTTTCGCGATAGGTGAAAATGAAGTCAATACGGTCTCGACCGGGTCTAAAACCAAGTTGATTCTAAGGGGTGCATGCTTCACGTGCGGTAGAAAATTGAGAGTATGGCGCCAATTAGAAGTTGGGAGACAATGTTGGTTAAACTAATTCCTCCATGGTTGTTACAGTAGGACCTATCACCTTTCTTGCAGATCGGTAACATGACTGACTCATAAAATTTACCTAGAACGTATTCACTGTCTTAGACTGAACCCAGCTGTTCTGTAAACGCTGGGATCAGAGTTGAACCTCTGACCTGGATATCGGAGGGAGACAACTTGTTTCCCGAGAAACCTGCATTTCCGGAGGACTGATATGAACTTGCAGAATTTGCCCAGTTAAGGTAGGGGTTGCCAGACCTAATACTGATGGGGGACAGTTGAACTGAGCTCCAGGATTTTGTCCCTCGCTCAAGATGCCTAGGCTGAATAGGAATCCATGTGCCATCGGACTCCTTGATCACCTCGCTAACGCCAGATTTTTTTGAGCCCGTACTCTTAATTGGACGGAAAAGATTTCGAATATTTACGATGGCCGCAGCCCCTTTCCATCTTTCTAGATTTCAGTAGCTACAAGTTCTCTGAGGCGTTCCACAGGTTCTTAATGAGTTGACGTTTAAGGGGTTTGCGTGCTATTATAGTTTCAGTATGGAATAACGGCTGTACGAGCACCCAACAAGGCAGCTGAGGTCGACGGAATCCATCGAGTGTTTTTCACTATATGCCGGAATTCACCGTTTTTATCAAATTTTGGACAGCTCCCTGGATTCACGTCCAGTGTGCATTGGGTCCTTCGTGGTTGGTTGGAAAAGATACAATGAGAGAATTCCTCCTCGAAGGAAAATTTGCAACTATCGCGTTTATTTTTACTATGAATCTCCGATGGCTGCTTATCAGGTTTGGTGGGAATCTGGTTCGGAACACAGTGTGCTCCGTTTTCACGGGTTTCGATTCAAGTCTGACCAACAACGTAGTAGGGCGTAAATTCAACGCCGGAAGGTGCCCAAAACATCTATGTAGCGGTTCTGAGGTTGGTGAATGTTTGATGCCCAATCTACCGATCCTGCACCTAATCAACACTCAGGTGGTATAAAATTCGTACAAATCACTCCGTAATCAGTGTTTGCATCGACGTCGACAGTATTCTGATTACGCTTGCGAATTATGCACACTCCAAGTATGGAGAAAGTAATTCCTCAACATTTTTCTCCAGTATCCAAATCCGAAATTGCCACTAACAGTTCGATCTACATGCGACTGGAAATCTGTTCACTATACTCAAAAAAGAGGGGAATACATACACACACACACACACACATTCAGTCACTCTTTTACGGTGTATCCGCAATTCAAACCCGGCAGATTTGACCTCTAATGGAAAGGATAAGGTAATACATACAACTAACCAAATGAAATGGATTATCCGGTTGCACGCAGTTCCCTCTGCGCATATTGTGACAAGTGTTTGCCTATAAAACTATAGGCTGCATTGTTTTCTCAGTTGACTGGAACAGTACCAACTGGCAGATTTTTCCCCATTAACTGCAGAACTTTCCATGGCTGTTTGTGAGAAAAACCCCGCTGGCCTATCGGTGAGCAACCCACGGAGGCGGGATCATAACAAACCTCCATTAGTTTCGCTAGCGTGCCCTAGTGAAATGGAAAGTTTGTCAACACCGAAATGCCTAACACGTTTCCGGTAGATTGTTTGGTAGCTCCGACCCAGCAGTGGTGCACAAGTACATACGCACTATCTTTGGGATCTCTTTTTTCACTCCCTCTATCTCTCTGCACACGCACAGAGGCAGAAAAATGATTACAGACAACCAGTGCAAAAGAAATTTTTATTCTTTATTCCCAATTCCTAGGGTGCTAGAATCCAGACAGATTTCTCGTTTCACACTTCCCGCTTTTTCCACCCAGAAAACCCAGAATGTAACCAAATAGTGGGAACTTAAGAGAAAGTGATTTTGTCCATAACCTTTATTAACGCCAAAAGCTAACCCTACACGAAAAATTCGGTAACTATCTCTAGGATGCAAGCTATCTGGTCATGGCATTCTTTCGATGAGATCGTTGATTGTCCGACATTGAGTACTTGACTTGACTAACTTGTTCAGAACGACATGAAAAAGGTACTTGGAATACTTAAGAGCCCATCTAGCAACGGAATGTGGAAGAAGAAAGAATGTCTAAAAGGTGGTCTAGCAGATGAATTGGCTGGTCTCAAGACCCAAGTATGGAGATTAGATGAAACGGGGGCTGAGCGTATTCCAGGACAGGCTTTACGCAGTCATCTGCCCTACCGTACCAACGCGTGACTTTGTAGGCATCGGTTGAACCATTCCGAGAGAGAGAGAGAGCGAATACGTGTTTTTGTGTGTATGTATGTACGGGTGAGAAATAAAACGCGCACGAGGCACTGATAAAAAATACGAACAAACACATTGAAGAAATACGGGGAATAGATAACTACACGGACTCCGGAACGCGCATGGAGTCAATGGTGAAATGGAACATCGAATGAACATCGTTTGAGACTAAGAAGGAAACAGATACACGGGTGCAAATAAGTCAATATATATATATATATATATATATATATA